ACACTTTATACAGCACGCCGGTCACCACACCAGACATGTAGAAGGACAGTGCGCTTACTGCTGCACGTCGTCGTCGCTGTCGCCGACGTCGGCCGGACGCACTTGGTCGATCGTCGCGGAGCATTAGTTGAAGGCCGGAAAGTGCAACGCCTTCGTCAGGAAGTCGGCCGGCTGCTCGGTGGTCGGGATGTATTTCAACGCGATCTTCTTGCGCTTCACCATCTGCTGCAGCCAGATGTAGCAACGCTCCATGTGCTTGAGGTTGCCCTTCAGCCCCAAGCCTTCAGCGACCGCGATGGCCGACTAGTTGTCCACGCTAAAGACGGTCGGCGTCCCAGCATTGAGCAGCTGGAACTTGGCGAGGAAGAAGCGAAGCTGGCGTGCCTCCTTGCCGACTTCGGTGGCCGCGATGTACCCCGACTCGGTCGACGAGAGTGTCACGCACTTGATGCGTTGGCTCGTCCAGGAAACGGCGGCCTCGCCAAAGACGAAAACGTAATCGTTCGTGCTACAGTGCTTCTGCTTGACATCGGCGTTGTCGGCGTCAGCGTAGCCAAACAGACACAGCTACTCTGGTCCGCTGCCAAACTCCATGGTGGTGTCACGGGTGTCGGCGATGTAGGCGAGACAACGGTCGACCTCACGCCCGTGCTGGTCACTCCGCACGGTCAGGCTGGACCCTAGCTTGCTGCACGCGAAGGCGACGTCGGGCCTTGTCGTCGTGGCGGCGAACTGGAGCGAACCAACCTTCTGCCGAAACTCCACTTCCTCGTGCGACTAAAGCTCCTTGTCGTCGAACGTCTGCTCGTCGTAGGCGTCGACAGAGACCAGCGTCTTCGGAACTTGCCCGGTCTGCTCCTCGTCGATGTATCGCCTACGCAGCTTGTCAACGTAGGCCTGCTGGAAGAGCCACAGCTTCTGCGCAGGTTGGTCAGACACTCTAACCCGTAATACTTATTGACCGGGCTGATCTCGCGCAGCTCAAAGGTGGCTTCCAGCAGCTCCTCCAGCTCCTTCAGCATTGCGGTGCTGCTGGTGGCAAGCAGGTCGTCGACGTAGACAAGCACCCAACACTCCATTCCGTCGTCGCCGATCTTGAAGTACAGCGCCTCGTCGACCTGGCCCTTGCTTCGGCCGGCGCCAGTCAGCACAACGTCAAGCGCCGAGTACCACAGTAGTGACGACTGTTTGACTCTGTATTTTTTCTTCAGCAACTTGCACATACAGCCGGTCCCGTCGTTGTAGTAGCCGGGCTGGTACATGTAGATCACCCAGTAGAACTTGCTCTACGGGAAGGCGTTCTTCATGTCGAGTCGCATCAGATGCAAGTCGAAGACGCCGATGATGCTGAGGAAGATCCGCAGCGTGACGTAGCTACAGACTGGCGCGTACGTCTTTTCATAGTCGATATTGCACACCTACGTGACGACCAGGCGTGCCTTCTTGCGAGTGACCATCTCGTCATTGGCACCCATCAGTTCTTCATCACGTTGATACCATGCGGTGGCGACAAGCACTGGGTGCCGTACGAGCGTTGGATTGACACAGAGGTGCTGTGTGCAGTCAGGTCTCGTTGACACAGGTTCTCGTCTTGCGTAGACTTGGGTTCTCTACTTACTTTGTTTGTACACTTTGCTTATACCTCTCTGTGAACTCTTGAACTGGCCTTGTGGCCCTTTTGCTAGTGCTCGGACTGCGTGGTGACGTTGTGATCCACCCTGAGCTTTGTTGTAAAGTGACTGGTCTTGTGACCGTACGGTTTTAGTTTTGCTTGACACTCCTCACTTAGGCTATAGGGGGACGGGCTGCTCATGAGAAGGGTGTCGAGACTAGACCTGGTTTTGGTGGAAGGGGACGTTTTTCAATATTACTGTCTCGTTTATATTCAAAGTTTTTAAACTCAAACATGTTTTTTTCGAAAGTTAGCGAAAAACAGCTGATTACTAAAAACTATTAGTCACATGGCAATACAGTATTTCACTACGAATGCTTTTTCTTTCTTTCTTTCTTTCTTTCTTTTCTTTTCTTTTCTTTTCTTTCCAGCCGAATCACTCTGCGATCCGCCAGGTGGCGATCTGTTTGCTCGGTTTAAGTTTATAGCTCAACAAAAATCAGAAATCGAATGTTTAGTGATCGTAACAGAAACGTAGTGTACTGCGATAACCTGGATTGCGCACATGGGGTCCTTGGGATGGGTGCATAAGAGCACTACGCTGTGAGTGTATACAAAATTTCAGGGTTCCTCTGACAGGATCAGTGTTTAGAAGTCGTCAAAACTGAAATTACAGGGACCGAAATGTGACAAATAAAAAATTTATCCTCAAATCAGGGCAATTACCCTGATAAAACCAGCCTTGTAAGGAATGTCGAAAATTCCTTACAACCCCCCCCCCCCCCCCCCCCCCCCCCCCAACAAGCTCCCTCCGCTACGCGAGTGAGTGTATGTCACGGAAATCCTAGGAGATGTCATGCTGCTGCAGCTGCTCTCACCGCAGCTCATGCTGCAGCAACCGCTGCTCTCCTTTGCTCCCATCTTCACACCCTGCTGTGAAGGTGCTCCCTCCTCTGATTCCACACCCAACCAGGACGCGTCCCCAGCTGAGCACTCAGAAGTTTCAATCAAATCAGTTGGATCCGCGACTTTGACAGCAGGAGCCGCGACTTTGACAGCAGGAGCCGCGAATTTGACAGCAGGAGCCGCGACTTTGACAGCAGGAACTTCACACTTGACAGCGAAAGCCTCAACAAGGACAGCAAGAGCCTCGACCACGAGCTGAGCAGCCCTGGCTGTTACTTGGTCGCTTGATCTGGTCCACTGGAATCCGACCTGCCAAGTTTCAAGACAAATCCGCGTTAGCATCTATTATAAGTGACTGTGAGTTAAAAAGGTAAGAAGTGAACTTGCAAGATAAACAAAGGGGACACATAAAGATAGGAAGGCGCGGAAGCGAGACCAGGCTGCAAACATAGCGAGCGAGGGAGGCATCCTGCTCCCAGCAGCTCGAGAACAGAGCGTCGACGTCCGCGCAGGAACGCTCAGCAACGATGCAGGCCATTTCGTTGACGGTCGTTGTAGCTTAGAGCTAAGAGACTGATATCGAACACTTGAAGGTTTAGACTGCAGGTACCGAAGCCTTGCTAGAATGAGGGGTCTGTAGGAGCTGGAAGGCTGAGCGATGATCACAGAACTGATTGACAAATAGGAATAGTAACCCCCTAGGCTCTTTATATTTCTTTCTGCTGCTGGATTAAGGGGTCTGACGGAAGGCGAGAATGAAGTGTGAGGCTGAAGCATGGACGGAATTCGGGCGAGATGCACGGAGGGGGTGGGAGGGAGGCAGTGGGCGCGAGGCAGCTCCGCGAATTCGTCGCCTGTGGGGTGGTTCTCTGGAGGATGGAGTGGGGTTGCGAGAATGTGCGAAACCCATGGCGACGCCGCTGATTGGCCTCAATTGTCGCAACGCTATCTGTTCGAACAGGGACGATTTAGGATAAGACACGACACGTGGCCTTTATGCGATAGCTGGAAGCGCGAAGAGTTCAAAGGTCCGCCACAACTTGGAATATCAGTGCGGCGCGAGTACATTTCAGACGCGGGATAAGGAGAAGGCTTGGAAATTGGCGAGGGTATCGGTTGAGTAGTACGAAAACCCGAGCCTGTCGTCGAGGCTCAGCTCAGACCTGCAAAATTCCGGGATGGTGAACACGTGGACCATGGAGATCGTTGTGCACTATGTCATGTGCGAGAATATCGAGAGTCTGTACGCGTGAGGAGGCCTTTCGATTGTGGCCCAAATATATAAATGTTTGAGTAGGAGTATATAAAATAGTAACTAAACATTTGAAACCGCGGTAAAACAGAATGAGAGAGCGATGTTGAAGATTCCAACAAAATCAAATTTATCAGATAAAATAGCATGATGTCCAAACCATTGGAAATATGTATTCATTGTTTACATACACCCACCCTAAAGTACACACACAGAAACTACCGTCAGCCCCCGGATAGAAGCGCCCCTGGGGGTATAAAAAACACTGTTTTTTAGTGGGTGCGCTTATATTTGAGGGTTTTTATAAGCGCCGGGGCTTATATTGTTACGATATAAAATAGTTGAATAAACATTCCTGAGAAACAAATCCTTAACGCGAAGATCACTGCAGCGAGAACGAAAGACCAAGCGTCAAGACAGTTATCGAGACAGTTACAAGCAGAAAGAATTTGAAGTGCAAAGCGCGGGAAATGTTCAAACGGTTACCGGACCGCGTACGGTTACCAGATTGCACGGTTGCGATGCTGCATCTAGATTAGCCCTAAGGGGAATGTACCCCCTCAGAGTACATGGCTAGCTTGTTACGAGACTAACTTAACGAGTAACTTGGTTTAACTAAGGGCCTAGGCTTAGTAGCCTAGGCCAAACGGGTGTCGAGTAGTTTGTGCCAAGGAGGAATGTCGAGATTGTGTGTTGTTCACTATAGCACACAAGGTACATATAGCAAACTAGCAAGGGTGCACCACCAACAACAAGGAAACATAACTACACTAGAGCTAAAGCTACAGGCAGTTAAAAACATATATAAATATATATTGCGACACACCCCCTTAACTGCCTGCAGCACATAGCTAGAGTAAGTCACACCCCCTGAAGGGGTATTGCAGGCGTTGTGAAAAACGGTAGAGAGGTAAGTGAGGAGGAGGAGGCAAGAGAGAGACAGGAGAGGAGAGGAGATAAGAACAAAGGAGGAGGTGAGTGAGGGATGAGGAGAGGAGGTGGGGGGGTGGCCGCGGCGTCCCCTCTTACTAACCCCCTTTTACACAGGGGGGGGTCGAGTGGGGGATGAGGAGTGGAGGTGGGGGGGTGGCCGCAGCGTCCCCTCTTACTAACCCCCACATCCCCACCCCCAATCAACCAACCCCCTGTAACCTCACCCCCCATTTCAACCGCCCCCTGGAACCGCACTCCCTCCCCCCCTTTCTTCCTCCAGTCCCCTCCCCACCCACGATGGTCCCTGTCCAGTTCTTCACAGGTGGGGCTGCTGGTCACAGGTGGGGCTGCTGGTCACAGGTGGGGCTGCTGGTCTCAGGTGGGGCTGCTGGTCACAGGTGGGGCTGCTGGTCACAGGTGGGGCTGCTGGTCACAGGTGGGGCTGCTGGTCACAGGTGGGGCTGCTGGTCACAGGTGGGGCTGCTGGTCTCAGGTGGGGCTGCTGGTCACAGGTGGGGCTGCTGGTCACAGGTGGGGCTGCTGGTCTCAGGTGGGGCTGCTGGTCACAGGTGGGGCTGCTGGTCACAGGTGGGGCTGCTGGTCACAGGTAGGGCTGGTGCCTGGTGCTGGTGCCTGGTGCTGGCGGCTGGCGCTGGGGCTGGGGCTGGTGCTGGTGCTGGTGCTGGCGGCTGGCGCTGGCGCTGGTGCCTGGTGCTGGCGTGACGGCGCTGGTGCTGGTGCCTGGTGCTGGCGTTGCGGCGCTGGAGCTGGTGCTGGTGCTGGCAGCTGGTGCTGGAGCTGGTGCTGGTGCTGGTCACTGGCGTCGGTGCTGGTGCTGGTGCCTGGTGCTGGTGGCTGGAGCTGGTGCTTGTGCCTGGTGCTGGTGGCTGGCGCTGGTGATTGTGCCGGTGCCTGGTGCTGGCGGCTGGCGGCTGGCGCTGGTGCTGGTGCCTGGTGCTGGCGGCTGGCGCTGGTGCTGGTGCCTGGTGCTGGCGGCTGGCACCGGTGCTGGTGCCTGGTGCTGGTACCTGGTGCTGGTACCTGGTGCTGGTACCTGGTGCTGGCGGCTGGTGCTGGTGCCTGGTGCTGGCGCTGGCACTGGTGTTGGTCCCTGGTGCTGGCTGGTGGCGCTGGTGCTGGTGCCTGGTGCTGGCGGCTGGCGTTGGTGCTGGTGGCTGGTGCTGGCGTGACGACGCTGGTGCTGGTGCTGGTGCTGGCGGCTGGCGCTGGTGCTGGTGCCTGGTGCTGGTGTTCCGCGACCACTCCCTTCCCCCTGTTCCTCTCTCCCCCACAGCATTCCGCCGCCACTCCCTTCCCCCTTTTCCTCTCTCCCCCACAGCATTCCGCCGCCACTCCCTTCCCCCTTTCCCTCTCCCCCCCACAGCATTCTGCCACCAATCCCTTCCCCTCCTCCCTCTCCCACCCACAGCGACCGCCGCTGCACCCGCGAACAGTCGCGACGGGGGGGATGACGGGCAGGGGGGCGGGGGAATGCGACGGGCAGAGTGAGGCGACGGGAGGGAAGAAAGCGGGACGGGGGGGGGAAGGGCCGCGACGACCGCCACGGACGCCGTCCCTTTCATTCCCGATTCTCCGCGGTGCTGTACGGTTCTGGGCGGGGTAGAGTAGCTGGTGGGGCGGCTGACTTCAGGGTGAGGTGACTGGAACGGGTGGTACAACGGGCACTGGGTGGGTCAGCAGGGACGGGTGAAACGGTAGCGCAGCTGACGAGCTGCGCGTGCGTGCGGCTATTGCTGCGCGTGCGTGCAGCTATGGCCGCGCGTGCGTGCTGCTAATGTCGCGCGTGCGTGCGGCTAATGCTGCACGTGCATGCGGCTAATGCTGCGCATGCGCGCGGTCGCATGTGCGGCTACGACTGCACGTGCGCATGCGTCTGCTGCGCTCTAGTGGGTTGGCGAGCTACGCACGGGGCAGAGAACGGGTGAAGCGCGGGTGAGAAAACGGGTGACGCACGGGGCAAAACGGGTGACGCGAGCGGGGCAAAACGGGTGCTACGGACTAGATCGGGGCACGGGGCGGTGGGCCCATAGGACGGTCTAGCTCTGATACCATGTTACGAGACTAACTTAACAAGTAACTTGGTTTAACTAAGGGCCTAGGCTTAGTAGCCTAGGCCAAACGGGTGTCGAGTAGTTTGTGCCAAGGAGGAATGTCGAGATTGTGTGTTGTTCACTATAGCACACAAGGTACATATAGCAAACTAGCAAGGGTGCACCACCAACAACAAGGAAACATAACTACACTAGAGCTAAAGCTACAGGTAGTTAAAAACATATATAAATATATATTGCGACATAGCTAGGACCTTTCGTATTCCACTGTATTCCTATATAAACCCCTGTACCGCATTGTTATAGTCACTTCTGTCGAGATTCAATTCTCCTTCTACTGGCAGAGTCCGTATCCGACATTACCTAGCAATCTTCCGCTGCTACACTCCGTGCGATCAACCTGAGACGATCCTATAAGACGGTTCAGATTGTATCATGGTATGAGAGCCACTCAGGATTCTTCGCACTACCACCTTTGATTCAAATTCAAATTCAAGGTGGCGTTCGGTACGCGCTCCCGCCGAAATATGGCTGGAGGATCTGGCGGACAAGCGGCCAACACCGCCGAAGCCTCCGCCAACCCTACCGCGGACTCCGCGGGAACTACCACCGTCAGCAATGCGCTACTGGAGCAACTCATCCAGCGAATTTCTACGCTGGAATCGGGAATCCAACAACTGAAGAGTGCCAACCCCGAAACCACTCAGCAACCTGATCAACCGGCTGCTCTAACCACCTTTGATCTTGGGTCAAACTCTTCTGCTCCAACACTTCCTCGTCCAAGTGACGAAGCCGTGCTCGCAGCCCAGAACAAGTTTCTGACTATCTCCAAGATCCGAACCAGCATCGTGTTTAGCGGGCGAGATTTTTACACCTGGAGTTTCGAGCTCTCGCAAATTTTCTGCTACTTTGACAGAAGCTACGCCGGCCCTTCCAGCGATACCGACGACGCCAAGGCTCATTACTACAATGAGTCGCTCATGGCGTATAGCGTCCTACTTCGTAACATGGCGCCGACTGAACAACTCGGCATTCGCCCATACAAAACTCACCAAGCTCCCGCCATGGCCGCCTGGAACTACCTTAACAAAACCTACCAGCCCAAGGACTCCGTGTCCTCCAGTCGCTTACTTCAGCAACTCATGGAAGTCAAAATGGCGACTGGCGAGAAAGCAAACTCCTACATCAATCGCTGCCGAAGCGTCCGAGATCAACTTCTGAAGCTCGGAAACACCATCTCCGAGGACATGTTCGTCACCATCGTGCTTCGAGGGCTGGGACCACACTGGAATCCCTGCAAGGCGCTTCTTCGCCAACAAGGGATAATATTCGAAGCACATCTCTGCGCTACTCTGTTGCACGAGCAGCGCGACATGGAATTCAACCAAGAAAAAGGGGCACGCCGTGAACAAATCGCTTTCTACTCCAATCGGGACCAACGGAAAAATCGCGACACACGACCGCGACAATACTACTGCAAGAACTGCAAGGCCTTCGGTCACTCTACCGAACGCTGCCGATCCGGACCACGACACGACTCCGCGCCGCGCAACAACTCTGCCTACGGTCTCGATCACTTGCGCCAGGCAAACCGACCGTCTTCGGACCATCTGTCTGCCCCGCGCCAGCCGCCACAATATGACATCCAGAGCGCACCGCAGAACAACAACAACGCAGTTCGTCATGTCATGGGCAACATGGCGATGCGTATTCCCCGGCAAACTCGCCGCACCAATCGGCGACATCTGCGATATGTCTCTCCTCCCCCGCCAGGAAACGAAGTCCAATCCAACAACTACAACAACCCCTTCACGCAAGACGGGGAATTCGTCTCCGACGAATACGAACAAGATTGGGACCTGCCAATACCTCTACTGGAGTCGCCACCACATGACGAAGACTTCCTCAACTCACCATCAATCTACAGCTACTTCTACGGCCATCACATCAACACACGCCCCGTGGAAAATTACCGCGCTGCTGGAGATCGGCGCATTCCGTTCCGAAACACGCCAAACTTGGCGCTCTCGGCCCAGCACCGCACAAACTCTTACAACACGTGGTACATCGACAGCTGCTGTGGGCAGCACATGGTGGGCTCCGAGCGCTACATCTCCAACGCCAGCGCCATTCCCCAACCCACCGTCGTTACGGTGGCCAACAATCAGCAACTCCAAGCACGAGCATGCGGCATCGTCGTCCTGAAGGCACGCGACAGCGACATCCACATCACACTCAACGACGTCCTCATCGTACGCAATCTCCGCTATAATCTCCTCTCCTACGACCAACTCGTGCAGAGCAGAGTGCTCATGACAATTGACCATGAGACCCGTGACATCCTCATGCATTGGAAGGACTACAGCAACATTGGACAGTGAGCCGCGCTACATCGGTAGAGCCCACTCCGAAGATGGCGTTTACATTCTCGATTTCGACATCCCCGATTGCAGCGCTGACTCAGGGGATCTCATTGACCTGCAGCCCCTAGACATCGTGTGGAACCGTAAACCCAAACACCCAGACGGACGCCCCTGGATCAAGCATCACACTCATCCACGCGAAATCGACCTGCACGCACCTGGACCTGATGGTCTCTGCCAGAACTGCCATACCCCAACTGCCTCCAGAACAAACACAACAGACAGACCTCTCAATAGAGGAAAAGCACCAGCTGAAGAAGGAGAATCCTCCGCCGCAGCAGCACGGCGACTCATGGCCGCAGCATCACAGACTGAGAATGCTGGACCCGCTATTCAGCCTGCTGGCATGGACATAATTGAGGAAGCAGAGTGGCAGACACCTCAGCCAACTGGCATGCGCGACGGAGAGCTTGCAGTAGCACTCACCATCTTCCAACCGCGCAGGACTCGCACCGACCCCACAGTCCACGATCGCCTAGATCTACTCACACGCTACACAGGACCTGGCGCACACGACACAGACAACAACCCTCTCCCACTGACCTGGGAAACGTACCACGTCCAACATCCCTGGTCCCATCGCAGCATGACCACTGAGGAGTTTCAGCGTCATGAAGAAGAAGAAAGGCGTCGCCGCGCGGACGAAGAGGCAAAAGCAGCAGCAGCAGCAGCAACTACTGGAGGATGGGGGAGCGGAGCTGCCACAGCTGGAGATGGGGAGGCGGAACAAGCGCAACTGGATGGGGGGGCACCCCACCATCTACCGTGGACGGAGAAGAACCCATTGAAGAAGCCATCGCTCGCGCTGAACAGGAGGCAGCAGCAGCAGCAAGGGGACCGTATGGTTCACCACGTCCCCTTGGGATACCCCCAGGCACCACACCGCAAACTGACTCTTGGGGTTCTATTCCTATCCCTCAACAAGCCTCCTCAGACTCCACAGACTCACGACCTCCCACTGATCGCGATACCATACTACCCTACCGCACATATCCCCGCAGCCCACTCCACACTGAAACTACGCCCATTGGCCCCTCAGACTCACCTGCTCCAAGCCCTCCAGCCGCGTTTGCCTTACCGCCCCATCACATGCCACGCCCAAACCTACCAGAAGGAACAGCAGACACAGATGATGCCCCAACACCACTCGCAGCCCTTACCACAGTCACTCCAAACCCAACAGCTCGTGACTTTATCCTTGCTCTTGGCCTCTCCATCTCACCACAGCCCATCCCACAGCCAACTGAACAAGACATTGCCACACTCGTTGCATTCTACACACGCTCTCCTGCTCTGCGCGCTCAACCTGACCTCTGGCACAGGCGCCTCGGTCACCCCTCTCAAGAGGTCCTCAACAACTGCATTCGCGCACAGGTTTTCCAACCTCGAACTCTCCTCCGTCCAGACGGCACTCCAGTCCCGGTCGACACTGCTCGCCGCCCTGACTGCGAAATCTGCCCTGAGGCTGCACTCGCACATCAACCCTTCAAACTCCTTGAACCCGGAACCAACCGCTACGAGAAGCTTGAGAAGGTCTACAGCGATTTCCTCGTACTCACCAAAACCGGACTCAACGGCGAAGAATATACCCTTACCTTCGTCGACGCTCACTCCCGCTTCGTCTGGGTCGCCAATGTCTCCCACAGGAGCAAGGCGTTTGACATCTTCAAGGTCTGGCATGCCAATGCGGAAACTCAGTCCGGCTGCACTCTCAAGCTCTGGCAAACGGACTGCGCAGCTGAATTCAAGAGCGACAAGTTTGCGGCCTACGTCCAAGAGAAGGGCATCGTGCACAAGCTTTCCCTCCCTTACACGCACCCACAGCAAGGCGTCGCGGAACGCACCAACCGCACCCTCATGACCAAGGTTCGCGCCCTGCTACAGCAGAGCGACGTCGACGCGAAGTACTGGCCCTATGCCATGCATCACGCTGTCCGCCTGCACAACCTGCTCAGCACCACTGCCAACACTGACAATCTCTCGCCTCACCTCAAGTTCACCAACAAGCAGGGCGACATCTCCATGCTCCGCGTCTGGGGCTGCATGGTGCAGTATCGACCAGCCACGGCGACCACGGGGAAGTTCGAACGTCGCGCTCGCTGGGGCGTCCATCTCGGCATCAGCTTTGA